GAGTGAAATGCAAGAGGGATGTGGCGCAATGTGGCACATGATGGATCGAGCGAGCCAAGTCTGAAGGTATTCCTTCCAGCTGGAAAAAGAGGCAGCCGCCGTTGAAGCTGCCTGCGAAGAAGTCTTGAAGCACAAAGCTCAGAACGAACAAGGACAGTGATGTCTGGCAGATCGAATTGGACCAAGGTCAGGGAGACTCACAGGAGACCTGTTGGAGGAAAGTCAACGCAGCAATGCTGTGTCGACCAGTGCGATAGGCGACTGCTGCTGGGTTGTGAAATCTGCTGGGCTCAGTACGCCTAGTGCATGAGAACTTTCGATAGTTTGCATTTTGCCTCCACTGAGCTCTCTTGGCCAGGTGATGCTGTGGTAGCTGCTCTGAAAGGGCCTTAGAGACTGTGCCGAGCTCACCGCACCAGCGGAAGCTGCCTGGTGCACCTGGCACCGCTACTTTGGACTCCAAAGGCTTCGAGCGCGTCGAAGCCTTTTTTCCTGGGTGATTTCTCAACGTTGGAGCTTTGGGAGCACCAGATTCGATGGTTCTGTTGAAGACGGTCGTCGACTGCGTGTAGCAGCGTAGCATGCTCAGAGCGAGGTTGCAGGATTGCAGGATGCGAAGTGATACTCTCAAGCCTCACAAGAAGGGCTCACATCTCGTTCACGAGCAACTCCTGACAGAGTAGTTTTTTCTGCTGGAGAGGATGCGCGCAACAGAGAGTCGTCGAGTGCGCCTGGTACATTCGCGGAATGCCTTTTGCCCTCAAGCGGAAACCGTACCAACCTTGCATGTCACCTCTAGCTCAAGCACATGCAGTCTTTTGTAGACTTGCGTATTTGCGCAGTAATTACAACTACCTCTCAAACACGATTGTTCTAAAGCGGCCAATATCGATAAGTCAATAAGGGAATCAACCAAGCCCACAGTGCCTGTCGATGCAAAGACTTTCCGGGCAGAAGTTCCAGGCACGAGTGGGTGGACATGGCGTGGGAGTAGGCGGAATGGACTGTTGTTCACCCTCCCGGGACATACTTGTATGGCACAGTCCGCCCTCAAATCTCAATTCTGTTCAAGCGCTTGTACGACTTTATTGATGGACCAAAGGCGAGAGACAAGCTGTGTGCAGCTAGCCATTTTGGCTCAAGCTCGGGACCAAGTCGTGGAGGATTCGAAATCATTAGGCCGTGCCAGCCCATGTCGGTTTCAGCCGGCGCTTTGGACATCGCTTTTGCTTCAGGGGCTTTGCGCTCTATCGGCTTCTTCAATGGGCTTGAAGTAGAGCAGGCCTACGATTGGATGTTCGAAGAGGGCAGGCATTGTCTGATGAATTTAGACTGCTGCTTATCTGCTGCAGGGCGATTATCACTCAGGCCGGTGCTCGACGCACTGACTGCTCTTCAGGTTGGGGCTCGCGAGCCCGTGGGTACTGGAGTTCTTGCGTCTGGCGCTCATGGGGCACATTCGTATATGGATTGGTGCCGCATGTTTCCTGAAGAGCGTGTTCAGCTTTTGCGCTGTCTACCTAGCCTCTTGCTCCTTTGCCGTCCCGCCGGTCCCCTGGAGAGAGCAGTGCACTATCTTCGAGATTTGATGCAGCGCGGCTTCGAGGACCGTGCCTTTTGCTTGTGTGCTGTTGTTTTGCCCCTACACGGGCCCCGCAGCAGCACCATGGCTCTAGACTTGTGTGATCGTTTGAGGGCCACCGGGCTGCAGCCCATAGCGCCCTTGCTCTTCGATCATGGTGTCCGGCAACTTGCCGACATAGTTCCTAACACCGCTTCTTTGCTGGCTGCGGGGCGCAGGCCTGGCAGCTTGAAGCTTTGGTCTTAGGCCGATTGGAGGTCAACATTGCTGTGCCCAGCGGGCGGCCGGATCACCCACAGGTTCGCCCTCGTAAAAGAGCTTCGTGGGCATTGGCGGAGGCTGCCCAACCGGCAAAGAGGCAGGCGGCCCTCGATGCTTTGCAGGCAGATGTGCTCGCGGCGACCACTAAATCATCAGTGGATAGCCGTGTCAAGGCGTGGCAAGAGCTTTGCCTCGCCTGGGAAAAGGTCCCTTTCCCGATCAAGGTCGAGACTGTTAAGTGCATCGGTGCCAGCTTGAAGGCGGGCGGTTACCACTCTTGCTCCAATTATTTCGGGGCGGCCGTGGGGCATCAGATGCGCACCATGGGTGCCCCGATCGGGGAAGATGTGCGCTGGGCCATTAAGGACACAGTGCGGGCCATCACGCGTGGGTTGGGACCGTCTCAGCTTAAGGACAGCTTCGATTTGGAGCTCCTGCAGCCCATTGTGCCTTACACCAGGCAGCGGGCAGAGTTCCACGTGGGCCAGCTTGATGCCGAGATCGATCTGGCCCTCATAGCTGCATGGTGGATGCTTCGCGAAATAGAGGTTTCTAACGCTCGTGTACACCATTTGTACCTCAGCCGGGACGAGTCCTTCCTTGCGCATTTTCTCGTTCCCATCTCGAAGGCTGACACACAAGGGCATTTGACCGTGCGCTCCTATGCCTGCATTTGCAGGGCTCGCTCTGAGAGGCTGTGCCCGTGGCACGCCGCCGACCGGCACTTGCATCGGTTGTACCTCTTGCGCAAGACTCGCAGGCAGATCACGTACCTCTTTCCTGACAGTGACGGCGGCCCTCTCTCCAAGGTGCAGGTAGTTCGCATCTTCGAGCGAGTCCTCTCTGCTGCTGGCATTCCTTTGACGCGTCCAGACGAATGTGGCCGGGAGGTTCCTCGCTTCCAAGGCCATGTTATGCGAGTGAGTGGCACGCAGTTTCTGGCAGCCATGGGGCTCAGCGTCCCCATGATCCAATTACAGGGAAGATGGAGCAGCCGTGCCATCGACCGTTATGTTCAGTTGGCGCCATTGCTTCGGATGCCACAGGCTGTTCGTGAAGCCAGGAACCGCGGATCCAGCTCTTTCCTCATCGGTGCCGGGCCCGGTGCGCCTGCTGTGGCGGCAGCCCCTGAGGCAGTTGAAGGACATCCCCAGTCGCCACCGCCGGCCGCGAACAAACCACGGCCAGCCAAGAAGAAGGTCGAGACGATTGATGTCACAGGCGACGCCACCGAGTCGCAGCGTGATGGCGTCTCCGCGGGGCAGGTGCAGAAGGAGTTGCATCAGTTCATGGCGGCCGTCTTGGAGCCCAAGGAGATGTTGGTCGTGCAGCCGCGCCGGAAGGTTGCTCATGTGATCGCCGTTCCCGAGGAATCGCATGACATTGCGGTTTGGCGCACCTCGTGTGGGTGGGCCTATGGATGGTCCCATTTCTATCGCGCAGAGAAAGGGGCCTTGGGGCCAGGTCTGCGCTTGTGCAAGCGCTGTTTTCCTGAGGAGACCGCCGACTCGAGCGACTCATCCTCGTCTTCTTCTTCTTCTTCTTCATCGGATTCGGGGTCTAGCTGAGCCGGGCTTTGTCAGCCTGTGATTGCTCACACCAGCCGGGAGTTTTGACGTTTCCTGGCGGTCCACCTCTCTCCTTAGAAAGGGCGCTCCGCTGCTTTAGGATTCACGGCCTTTTGTCGCGAGCGCCTCCTGAGCTTCTTCGATACGTTGCTCAAGAAGTTGCGAAGTGTCCCGAACCGCCTCAACCAGTTCAAGATCTACTACGAGACGGTGGCATGGAGGCTGGCACAGGCCCTGCGAGCCAACACTCCGTTCCAGCAGGCGGTGCGGGGCGTGCTCGGGGACACCATCCTGTGGCAGGAGACCCTGGCCAAGGAAGTCACCACGCCCACGGCGGCCGAGAAGCCCAAGAAGCCTGAGACGCCGCCGAAGCGCCGATCCAAAGACACTCCTCCTCCACAGGCTCCCGCCAAGAAGGGCGACACAGGCTGGGGGCAGCAGCAGCGCAAGGTCGTGGCGGCCGGACCCCCACCAAGGGTCCCACAAGAAGAAGGACGAATGAGAAATCGTGGGGACTCCGACCCAGTGGAGATGGGCATCCAGTGCCTGGGGATGCCGCGGCGCCCTCGTCTGGATCAGCGCACGCGGCACCGAAGGTCAAGGCCATGCCACGCAAGCCGGCGCAGGCTGCTTCTACCAGCGCTGCCGGCTCGCAGCCGAACCCTGGGGTGATCTTGCTGTCCTTCTTCGATGGCATCGGTACTTCTGCTTTGGCTGCCCAGGATCACGCCCGGATCGTGCACATGATGGCTTGGGAGGTGGACCCTGCCGCCACGGCTGTGTGCAGTGCACATTTCCAGCACGTTGTGGAGCACAGGGGCGATTTTCAACAGGACAGCGCAACGGCAGTCGCTTGGATCCTCAGGCCTACCACACGTTGCTGGTGACGGCCGGGCCACCTTGCCCCGACTTTAGTCGGGTCCACGACGGCCCCGGCCGTTCGGGGGAGACTGGACAGCTTTTCAAGCAGTTCTGTGATTTTCTTGATGAGCTGGAGGCTTTGTTGATTGGCCGCACTCTTGCCGTGCTCGTGGAGAACGTGATCATGGCCTGCTACGGGGATATCAACTACTTTTCGCAGCGCTTACGCTGCGAGCCGATCGTCGCCGACTCCATTGACCTCGGTGTGGTACATAGACCACCTCCAAGATCAGGTTAGGCTATTTTGGGACATATATCCTATTTGGCAAAATAGTTTATTTTACCTGGAAATATACTATTTTAAATAGACTATTTCGCTCTTGTTTCATAGTCTATTTTTCCGGTTATTTGGTAAATAGACTATGCAAAAACAGGTTATATGGTAGAATATAGGATATTTTCGCATATGTTGGAAACCAAAAAATCATCGGAAATCCATACAGAACAAAGTCAGTCTTGCTTAGAAAAAACACGTGTGCGAATAGGGAAATGTGTTGAAAACCGATCCGTGTTGAAAGATTTTCTTGAAATGTTAACTCGTTTGATACCGAGGAAATCAGCACGGTCCATTAAACACTCGTGAAAAGTTTGCCCTAGACCCTATACCTTGGACCTGAAAATCTAGGAGCCCTAAACCCACAGCATTGACTCGCGAGGACATTTTTTCCTCACTCTCCACAAAGCCTGTCCAGCCGCAAGTGCCAAGCTATGCGGAGCTGCTGCGACATTTTTGCCGCAGCCCGAGGGCCGGTCACAGCCCGGCAGCAGGAGCCAGCCAAGGTTCGAGAGATCTTCTGAAGATCCTCTCCTTTGAAGCACCATGTGAGCCGGGGATGCAGCACATCTGCCAAAAGGCAGGCATGCAAGAAGAAATGCATCTTCGGGAGGTCTGCGAAGTAGTTTCCTTCAAAGTGTTCCCGCAGCTGTCGGTGCAGCTGGCAGAGCCCGAAAGCCAATTTCTTGAACTTCTCCGCATGGTCTGGAGGCATGGCCATCTCGGTCCTCGTAGCATGCAGGATCTTCTCGAGGGCTAGATTCACCTTCAAGTAGTTCTCGATCTTGAGGTGAATTTCGAGGTCTTTGTTCATGAAATTCTGCCAGCAGAGGAGTAGTGGTTCCCCCAGAGCCTGGATCTGCATGGCTCTCCCCTTGAGTTTCGGCGGGAGCTTCTTCCTCTGAAAAAGACTGAGCTTTCTCATGCCCCTGAACCTTTCCACGATTTTCAAGGCTTTGTAGGAGCTGAGCAGGTGCTCCCACACACATCGCAAATTCGCGAGAGGTGAGTCGGGCAACACGAAGTTGACGAGCAAGCTCAGCACACTCCCGAATCCCAGAGGATCCAGCCCCAAGTACTTCGTGTGCATGTAGTCCATGTGGCAACTGAGTGCAGAGCATACTCCGCTGTCGAACAGCGGGTTTTTCGGGCGGTCCGGAAAAGACCGCCACTCTGCCAAAGACCATTGCATGCTGAGCCATGGCGCTGTCGGTTTGCAATTCCTCCAGGAGGTGGAAGTCTCGTCGCCCGAGCATTTGCAAAGGCCGCACGGGTTGTGCTTTTGGCCAAAATGTGGCATGTTCAATCTTGAGACCATATACTCAAGATCGCCGACCAATGCCCAGATGACGCCTTTCCACCCCCCCGCCAAGGGCGATCCTGCCTTACGGCCCAGGTCGCTCGTGGGCGGGTACCTCTGACAGTGTGAAAGCTGACAGAAAAGTGTTACTTCGAACAGTCCATTGTCTGCCACCAAAAGTTGCTACTTAAAGTTTGTTGCTACTTAGAGCGAAGCTTTGCTTATGTGTGAGTAGACTTTGGATAGCACATCTTGCCTGTGACTCATGAAAGAGATTAGGATTCCATTTTGTTGCTTATAAGACAGAAAAACAAGAGGTTATCGCTAGTGTTTCGCTGCTACATAGAAACTTTCGTCCTTTACACATTCGACTTGGGCTTTTTACTTATAAAGAAAAGAAAAGGCATTCAGCTCTTATGCGACGTGTTTCTACTTCTGTTAGAAAGAGAATGAGTTTTATCCGATTTGACCCCAACCAGAAAGATAATGATGCAATCCCGGGTGCAGGTTGCCCTTGTGGTCTGCAAAGGGCCAAAGACCTTCTTGCAGCACCTTGAAGCTCCAGGCCAGCATGCTGAGGAAGGTAGTCGCTGCTGTGCCGTCATCTGTTTCATCGAAGAGGAAATAAATGGGCAGTTGCGAATCCTTGGTCCAGGCAGGACCACCAACCAGGCTACACCAGCTCCAGGTGGTTAACATTCGGCTCCATATCTTCCCGACACCTATTGCAGGTGTTCCATCGCCGTGTAAAGAAAGCGGCACGAACTTTCGAGGCTCAAAGGAAGCCTGGCTTACCACAGGGTGGTCGTTGAACTGCGGGTGCTTCTTCTGTAGCCGCCAGAACTCCTGCAAGACATTCGCATCGGCCACCACGTACCGCTTGAAAGCTTCGTGGTAATTCTCGTACAAGGCGGAGAACATCTCATGAGGCAGCATCATGAGCTGGGGCTGATTTCCCCAGGGCTGCTTGAACTGTAGAGCAGTCCGCTGCAAAGGCGGCAATCTGCAACCAACTTCTGTAATTTTCATGATCTCACGTCTCATGTTGTTAGGGTGGATGCCGCCTGAACCCAGCTTCGCCAGAGCTTGCAACTCCGTTGGGGCCTTTGCTCCACAATTCTCGAAGTCTTTGACAGCCTTCGCAGCCAGTGCCTGCATGGCCTGGACAGACAAATCGCCCCAAGACCATCTTTCCTTCAGGTCCTTGGCCAAAAAACTTTCAGAAACAGACGGCTGGTCCTGCTGAGCTTCGGCGGCGGCAAGTCGCTGTCTCTGACCCACCACTACTCGTCGTCTTTTGGGAGCAGCTTCTGCTTCGCCGTCCATGGCTGCAGGGAGGTGTCATTGCTACGTAGAGAGAAGGCCCTTTTTTGCTACTTATAGAGAACTCTGATTGAAGGGACGGGGCCCTTAGAAAGAGGAATAAATCTTCATGGGTGTGGTGCTTCGGTTTTCCTATAAACCTTGTCTAGCGGCCGTCTGTGGGGCCATTAAAGAGACCATTGTGTTACTCAGAAAACTGTGATTGCGGGGACGGGGCCCTTAGAAAGAGGAATAGATCTTCACGGGTGTTGTGCCTCGGTTTTCCTATAGACCTTGTGTAGCAGCCGTGCACCGGGAATCTGTGGGGCCATTAGAGAGACCGAAATGTGGATCTTCACCCAAGATTTGAGGGCCATTGGGCATTAGAAAAAGGAATACACAAATGGATGTTTCTGTTGTGAGCCTGCCTAGGTTTTTTCTACCGCAGGGCCAGAAAGAAGCTGTGCAAAGGAAAAGTTCACTGGGAGGTGGCTCCAGAGGGGTTTAGGCTGAAGACTTGCAAGATTCTGCACATCACCGGCTGCATGCTGCTGGTCCTCACACGAGTCGTGAGAGCTTTTTTGCGAGGAAGCCGCTTTCGTGGAACTATTCTCGGTGCCTGGGGCAGAGAGGGGCCCTAGCGCTCAGCAGCTGCACACCTGCACAAGGCCATGCAGAAAACCCGATGTCTATGGGCTCTGCTTCCCGGCGGCCGCAGGTGATTTGCTACTTAGAGCCGGGCCCTCTGGTGGGGCTTTGCTACTTAGAACAAGCCCGCAGGCAAGATAGAAGCCTCTGTCTGTGAAGCCCTGTGAGAGCCTACATCGTCTATGTCTAGCATTCTTACACATGAGAAGAAAACCTTTCAATTAAATGGGGGCATGAAGAAAACTTTTCAATTTTATAGGGACCTAGAAACACAGACAGAGGCAACACCTTGTCTGCAACACGGCCAAGAAAAGGAGCTCTTTCAGAGCTCCTTGCGGGTTTTCAACAAAGCCCGGAACTGCTCCACCTTCTCGTTCAAAGTCGTGACCGCAGCGGCCTGCTCCTTGACAAAGGCGGCGAAGGACTGCTCAGAGATGGCTTCTCCGGACGGCAGCTCATCCCAGGCGAGGGCATGCTCCTGCTTGTGGCTCCAGTCCTTAAGCTCGAGCAAAACCGCCTTGAAGTTCAAGCGATCCTCGTCACTCTTGCACTTCTGGGCCATTTTCATGCCCGTACCGTGAAGCTTGTCCACGGCTTCCTTCGCTTCCACCAGCACGGCCCGCTGCTTGTCAGAGAGCTTTCCAGACTCCAACATCTTCTGGGCCGCCTTGCTGCCGGAGGCGGAAGAGCTGGCCACATCGCAGATGGCATGGGAGCCGGCATCGTCGAAGTCGAAGGAAAGGTCGTCCAGGGCGGCACTCACCTCGCCGAAGGCGCCCTTGCTCAGCTTTTGCTCGCCGCCGTGGAGGTTGTGGTTGTCCGAGACCTTCTTCGCCATGCCACTCTTGAGTGTGCGGTAAGAGCACATCTCCACCCCGCCGACTGTCCAGCAGTCCACGGCACCCGTGTCGATGCCCTGCTGGAGTGCGGACTCGTTTCCGTGGTACGTCTCCCACAGAAACACGTGGCGAGGCTTTCCGAGTCGCTCGTCCTTGCCGTAGTTCTCGTGGCTCGCCGTCTTGGTGCTGCTGAAGACCGGGTCCTTGGGATTCATCACGAGCTGGCCGTTGCCATCCTTGACGAAGAGGGCATTGATCAGCTTGGACTTGCCGGAGCGGCTGGACGATTTTTCTATCGCCTCTTGTATGTGTGACGGGATTGCACCCGAGTCACACAACTTGCGATATTTTCTCGCCTTCACTTGGTCGCGGCCTTCGTCCTCGGTGGCGGACTGGGCCGCCCACCCCTTTGCCTTCTCGGCAAGGCTTTTGGAGGTTTTTCCACCCCCAGAGCCACCCCCGGAGCCACCCCCGGACTTGTTCTCCTGGTTGTCTGTGGGGGCAGCCTTCGCTTTGGCCTTAGCCTTGGTTTTGGCTTTGGCCTTGGCCTTTCCCTTGGCCTTTGCTTTTGCCTTGGCCTTTCCCTTGGCCTTGGGCTTGGACGGTGCCTTTGGCTCCTCCTCGTCCGGCTCGAGGTTCTCCTCCTCCTCTGCACCCTCTGGGTCTGCTTGGTCCGCCTCCTTGTCCGCCTCCTCCTCGTGCTTCTCGGCCGGGTCGTCTTCTTGCTCCACACCTGGCACCACTTCCAAAGCCTCGGTCACCTCTGGCGGCAGAGTGGCTGCCTTCTTTGCAGCAGGCTTCTTCATGACCCCCATTGAGGCCACGGCTACGGTGCTACAGCTCGCTGCTGTGTTGAGCACCCAAAAGCTGCATCGCATGTTCGGATGGGCAGGGTCCCTGCCATGTGTCAGAGCTTAAAGGTCTCTTCTGTCTGTTACTTTATTTTATAGCAAGCACACTACAAAGTGCAACCTGGAAAAGGAAAGCTCGAAGCATAGAATTTTGTTACGAAGCTTTGTTTGGTAACTTAGCAAATTTCCTTGCTACCTAGATTTTCTCTGTGACTTAGATTGCCTTATTTTTATTAGGAAGCACACTACACAGTGCAACCTGGAAAAGGAAATCTCGAAACATAGAAGTTTGTTACGAAGCTTTGTTTGGTAACTTAGAAAATTTCCTTGCTACCTAGATTTTCTCTGTGACTTAGATTGCCTCGTGTCCTAGTTGTGACATAGTTATGTGCTGCTATATGCTAGAGGAAGCTGCTTATTCTTTCTGCTACCTAGTTTTGATATGTGACATAGATTCGGTTCGAAGTTCCAAGATGTGACTTAGATACTAGATTTTCGCTGTGAGATAAGTGTCGTCTTGTTGTGACTTAGTTCTACTGCAATTTGCTAGATAGAACTTTATTTTCTGCTCGTTACTTAGCCTTGTTATGAGACTTAGATTCGGTTTCAAGTTGCTAGATGTGACTTAGATGTACTGAAACTTCCGTTTAGCTTGCTACATAGTTTTGGTTGATACTTGGGGTGGGTTACTTCTGGATCCTTTGTACCTAAAATTCGTTGTACGTAGATTTGTGACTTAGCAACATCTGCTACTTAGATTTCTTGCATGTTTGTAACATAAGACTAAATAGTTTCACGTAGCAAACTTCTAAAAGGTACCCGGGTCAGCTAGGTGCGGGTTTGCGAGGGTGGGTTAAGGAGTCTGGCTTTGTGGGCTTAAGCTTGCAGGTCCAGGGGTTTAGGGGTTCGTGCTTTCTGGGGGTTTGGGGTTGTATTGGTAGCTCTTTGGGAGACATACTTGATGGTGTAAGCTTGGGGGATTTTGGGGTTGAAGGTCGGTGGTTTCAGGGGGCTTCGGGTTCCGGGGCAGAGTGTTTATTGTGGCTTTGGGACTTACGTGGGTCAAAGCTCTTTAGCATCTTATATAGGTGTTGGGGTTCTGTGGGTGTTGGCCTGCGGGGGAGAAGGGGGTTTATAGGGGTTTTGGGCTTTGGGGCTCCAGGGCTTTGGGTTTTGGGTTTAGGTTTGGGGGTTAGGGTTTAGGGGCTTATAGGGTTAGGGGGGTTTCAGGGTTTAGGGCTAAGTTCAGGGGTTTAGGGGCACGGTTTAGGGTTTAGGGTTCAGCTTCTGGTCTTTCTGGGGGTTTGGGTTACATGTAAACATACCAGCACCCACACAGACACTTGTGTATATATACATACACATACAGACATATATATATATGTCTGTATATACATAGTGTGTATGTTACAATGTGTTCTAGCTATGTATAGATACATAGACATATCTGCATTTATGTATTTATATATATAGACATGTATACATACATAAAGTTTCCATAACCTATGTATATTCGATGTATTGTTTATGTTTTGTAAAAGCGCCTTTTTTAGGGGACCAGGGCTTTTAAGCAAAATGGGCTTGATAAGTTGATTTATAGCTTTAAATACATCTAAAGTTTCCATATTGTTCTTACAAAAACATCGATCCATTTGTTCAGAACAATCTATATTTTTTCCTTAAAAACTTGGTAGATTTTTTTAAAATTTTGGTAGATTTTTTAAAAAATTTGGTATATTTTTTAAAAAATTTGATAGATTTTTTTAAAAATTTTTACATTTTTTTTAAAATTTTTTATATTTTTTTTTAAATTTTTATAGATTTTCAACAAAATGGCGATCCAGTTTGAGTCCAGTTTGAGTCCAGTTTGAGTCCAGTTTCATACAAACTGGATCGCCATGGTTGAGTTTCATATGAAACTAAACCACCATGGTTGAGTTTCATATGGAACTCAACCATGGCGATCCAGTTTGTATGAAACTGGACTCAAACTGGACTCAAACTGGACTCAAACTGGATCGCCATTTTGTTGAAAATCTATAAAAATTTTAAAAAAAATATAAAAAATTTTAAAAAAATATATAAAATTTTAAAAAAATATAAAAATTTTTAAAAAAAATATACCAAATTTTTTTAAAAATATACCAATTTTTTTAAAAAATCTACCAAAATTTGAAAAGAATCCAGCAACATTTTAAAAACAAATCTAACAAAATCTTTCAAAAATGCATATCCAAACTTTAAAGAATTACATACCTTTTTGTAAAAACCTATACCGGTCTTCTTAAAAATGTATATGAATAAACTGAAACATGTTAATGCATTGAAAAATAACATTAACATAATGGTTGCAACTGGACCTTAGTAAAACTACAATATAAAACAAAACACAAAAAATCACAAGTATCTGAAAAATCTTCACATAGAATAATGTGTTGGTTTGAAAAGAGTGTAGCAAAACTATACTTCACAGTTCATGTGTATTGTGAAAAGAACATATTGAAGACGGAAAGGAATAATTATGAACCTCAAAACAATATATACGTATCCAATACAAAAAAACGCTGTGTCCGTGTGGGTGCCTGCATGTCTACCCCTCAACCCCAAACCCTAAGCCCCTGAACCTCTAGACACCTTGAACTTTAAACCCCAAACCCTAAGGCCCGAAACCCTAACTTAACCACCGAACCCGAACCCCAAACCCTAAACCCTGGAACCCCTAAACCCCTGAACCACAAACCCTAAGCCCCTAAACCCCTAGACACGTTACCCCAAACCCTAAATCCAGAAACTTCGACAGAAGCCCTGACCGGAGCAACCGCCCAAGCCCCCCAAAACCCGCAACCCTGGAAAACCCTTCTGCTCGGCCGCCCGTTTTGGCACCACAGCGGAGGCAGAGGTAAGAAGATCCGAGAGCCCCTCAGAATGCGACCTGGGAGCTTTGTTCTTGGTTCGGGTTGCTACCTAGCTTTGCCTAGAGATGCTACCTAAATGTACGTGCGACTAGACTATTTTTCTGCTACCTAGAGCTTTTTTTTGATACCTAGTTTTGTTCTGCTACCTAGAGTTTTTGCTACTTAAATTTTTCTGCTACTTAGATTTTTTTGTTACCTAGATTTTTTGTGCTAGGTAGAGTTTTTGCTACCTAGTTTTGATGCTACCTTGGAATTTGTTACTTAGAAGACACGTGACTTAGATTGCATTACACCTGCTACTTATTTAAATGCTGTACACTGCAACTTAGAGCTGGCCTCTGCCTCCTTCTTTTTCTTTTTCTTTTTTTCCTTCTTTTTTTCTTCTTGGAAGACTTTCGGAAGACAGCCTGCACGGGAAGTTTGGCGGTGCACTGAGTCTCGTGGCTCTGTGTCCCCCGCCTGCTTTCTTCTCTAATCTCCATCCTTTCTTTCCTTCTTTCTTCCTTTTCGCTCCTGCAGGATAAAGCTACAAGTATATGCGACTTAGAATCCCCAGGCCCGGAAGTTTTCTCCTCGTGGCCAGCTGGATCATCTCCTCCTCTCTTTCCAGACTTTTCTTTCTTCTCCTTCCTCTCCTTGCTTTTGCCCTTCTTGTGGCGTTTCTCCTTCTTTTCCTTTTTTTCCTTTTCCTTTTCCTTTTCCTCTTTTCTTCGGCGCTTTCGCCTCTCCTCCTCCTCTGCTCTGCGGAGTCTTTTCTGCTCCTTGGCTCTTTCCTTCTCCTTGAGCCTTCTTTTTTGCTCCGCTTCTGCTCGGAGGAGAGCTTCACCTCTCCTCCGAGCAGCCAGAAGAGTGGCTGCTCTGGCCCCCTCCGGCTCGATGACCTCGTCATCCTCTTCGCTTTCCGACTCCTCCTGCTCGTCAGACGAGGTAGTCGAGGGTGCCCTTGGAGGGTCCTTCGAAGAGCCAGCCCCCTTCGAAGAGCCAGCCCTGGCCTGCTGCCTCCTCTGCCAGGGCAGCATCCCTTTCACCTCAGTTGAGAGGGAGGTTTGCTAGGTAGAATTTGCTACCTAGAGACTTTGCTGCCTAGAGTCCTGTTACTTAGAATTTGCTACCTAGGGTTTTTGCTACCTAGAGTCCTGTTACTTAGAATTTGCTACCTAGGGTTTTTGCTACCTAGAGTCCTGTTACTTAGAATTTGCTACCTAGGGTTTTTGCTACCTAGAGTCCTGTGACTTAGAATGTGCTACCTAGTGGATTCCGCTACGTAGAGAAGCATGTTACCTATCCAGTCTTTTTGCTACCTATAGAGCCTTGTTACCGAGAGGCTCTCTTAGAACTATATTTCTTGCCAAGTGGCCGCCAGCGACTTGCTAGCAGCAGTGGCATTCGCCAGCTGCTGCTGCACGGAGCCTCGAGGGCGAGGTGGAGGTCGTGGGCTCCGTAGGCGAGGATCCCGGCATGGCCTCTGCTCGTAGACCTCCTGCCACGGATGCTCCCCTGCTGCTGCTGCTGCTGGTGCTGAGCTTGCTGCTGGCTCTGCTTCTGCACTGGCCGCTGGGCTTGCTGCTGGACTGGCCGCTGGGCTTGCTGCTGCCTTTGGGCTTGCTGCTGCCTTTGGGCTTGCTGCTGCCTTTGCTGCTGCCTTTGGGCTTGCTGCTGGGCTTGGGCTTGCCGCTGGGCTTGCTGCCGGGCTTGCCCTTGGCCTTGCTGCTGCTGGCTCCTCAGCAGGACTTGTTGGAGTCCGAGGTGCTGCTGCTGGTGCAGCTGGAACAGCAGCCTCCTCTGCTGGTGCTGCTGGTGCTGCAGCTTTCGGAACAGCAGCCTCCTCTGCTGCTGGTGCTGCTGGTGCTGCAGCTTTCGGAGCAGCCGCCTCCTCTGCAGGTGCTGCTGCTGGTGCTGCTGCAGCTTTGGCCTCTGCAGCTGCTTTCGGAGCAGCAGCCTCCTCTGCAGCTGCTGCTGGTGCTGCTGCAGCTTTCGCCTTTGCTGCTGCTTTGGGAACAGCAGCAGCCTCCGCCTCTGCTGCTGCTGGTGCTGCTGCAGCTTTCGGAGCTGCAGCTTTCGGTGCTGCTGCCGCTTTGCCCTGGCCTTTGCCCTGCCAGGGTCGTTTGCTGACCCCGTAGCCAGCCACACCTGCAGGCAAAGCTGTCACGGCTTCTTCGGCTTCCTCCTGCGAGCTGTAGATGACATAGCCAAATGTCAGCGAGTGGCCACTCGGAGCCACCTCCGCATACACCGGCCACGTAGTGCTGCAGCACCAGTGGTACAGCTCCTCCGACGACAGCCAGGAGGGAAGGCCGCCGAGCCAGACCGTGCGGTCTGGCGGCAGGTTGGCCATGGCTATGGCTCTCGTGAGATGCTACCTAGAGAAGCATGCTACTTAGAACTTTGGCCTAGTTAGTTAGTGTGTGTGTGTGTGTGTGTGTGTGTAACTAAGCAAGTAAGTGTGTGTGTGTGTGTGTGTGTGTGTGTGTGTGTGTGTGTGTGTGTGTGTGTTGTGTGTGGTGTGTGTGTGGTGTGTGTGGTGTGTGTGTGTGTTGTGTGTGTTGTGTGTGTGTGTGTTGTGTGTGTGTGTGTTGTGTGTGTGTTGTGTGTGTGTTGTGTGTGTGTGTTGTGTGTGTTGTGTGTGTTGTGTGTGTTGTGTGTTGTGTGTGTTGTGTGTGTTGTGTGTGTTGTGTGTGTTGTGTGTGTTGTGTGTGTTGTGTGTGTTGTGTGTGTGGTGTGTGTGGTGTGTGTGTTGTGTGTGTTGTGTGTGTTGTGTGTGTTGTGTGTGTGTGTTGTGTGTGTTGTGTGTGTGTTGTGTGTGTTGTGTGTGTGGTGTGTGTGTTGTGTGTGTTGTGTGTGTTGTGTGTGTTGGTGTGTGGTGGGTTGTGTGGTGGGTAGGTGAGTGTGCTGTGCGTGTGTGTGTGTGTGTGGGTGTGTGGGTGTGTGTGTGTGTGTGGGTGGTGTGTGTGTGTGTGTGTGTGTGTGTGGGTGTGTGTTGTGTCAGGCAGTTGTCAGTGTTGCGGGTCTGGTTTCTGTCGGTTGTCCAGTTGTTGTCTAAGGTGTGTTCCGATCGTGCTCTCATCCATTAACCCTGTGTGTGTGTGTGCCTCTGCTTGTCCGTCTGTTGGAAAGTGGCTGCAAGTGTGCCTGTGTGCTGGTCCTACACAGCGGCCACGTGTTTGGCCTGTCGGGGGAAGGAGAACCGCTGAGTGGAGACTACTGTGTGTGTGGTGCTTTTGTGAGAAGAAACCTAGAACCTTCAACCTTAAACCCTAAATCAGGGGTCCCTGTGTGCTAGTGTCTGCAGTGTGCTCTTTCTACCGAGTGCTGTGTTTGCCCTGCTTCAGTTTTGTGAGGTCTCTGTCGTGGCTGCTGTGCCTCTCTCCTCTCTGGGTTCTCCTCCTGCGAGCCATCGGAGCGAGCGACGGCCGAAAAGTTCTTCGGGCTCTGGGCTGCAGAAGGGCTTCAGGTTAGGGGAAAACCTGGCTTGCTTCCTAGCGCCTTTGTGCTGCCTAAATGGATTGCGACCTAAAAGATGTAAGTTAAATTTCGAGATGGATTGCGACCTAGAATAAAAGCTGTTACTTAGATTTTTGCTACCTAGATGGATTGCGACCTAGCAAAAGCATTGCGACCTAGAAAAAGCTGCTACTTAGATTTATGCTACCTAGATGGATTGCGACCTAGCGCAAGCATTGCGACCTAGAAAAAACTGCTACTTAGATTTTTGCTACCTAGA